CCAAATGATCCTACCATGTGCTGAAGGGAGGAAGTCCAGAGCTGTTCCTGACCCTCCAGCTGGACTGCTGCGGTCCCCCCTGCCCCAGCAGTGCAGGCAGGAGGGGATGAGAGCAGCCTGGGTCTGACTCCATGGCACAAATGCATGAGAGTCCCAGCAAAGTCAAGGCAGTGACACAGCTCTTTGTGCTGGGAGGCCAAGTTACTCTTAGAAGGAAGATCTGAGGCCTGTGAGGGAAAGTCTGCCTTGAGTCCCAATGCTGTCTGTAGCTGAGCTGACCTGGGAGGAGTTATCCCTGCACTTCCAAGAGACTTGAAACACAGATTAGTTTCATGATCAGTGACTGGCTGATTGGGAAACCTGACCTTCAGAGTGGGAGAACACACTAAGTGCTCTTCATTTAGTTACGCGTTGTAGTTTTCTTCATTAGAGTTCCCTCACCACTGAACCAGAAATCTGGGATTTCATAGCTATTTGTGAAACTGAAATATGAAGGCTTCATCTTTCACATGAAAATGTGGGCTCGTTATGATTCTCCTTGAACTGGGAGAACCTTGCTCTAATACAAGGTCACTTCCATGGAACAGTTAGTAGCATTTCCAATGGCTCTTTATTTGGCTTTCTGCTCAGCTCTGGTGCATTAGCTGCATTTATTTAGGCTGTACTTGAGGATTAAACCCTGTGTTACATGATGTCAGCAGGAGTAAAGCTGAATTTCTCTCCGCACTTTTTATGTGAAGCAGCACCCTGTATGTGGATGAATAGCCTTCCTTTGGAGAGCGATGAGATCCTTTGGAGAGCGATGAGACACTAGCAGTGTGCAACTCAACCGTTTCCCTGGATTCTGAAGGATGTGTGCCCTCTAAGCTGTGTATCCAGCTCTGTATGTTTACAGCCTGCCTGGTTGCTTTGCCTTGTTTTGAAGCACACACGTTTCTGACTATTGCTTTCCTGTAGCCCTTGCCAAGTGTCTGTAGTTGTTTAGTTCAGAAGGAAGACTCTCTTTATGCTGACCATTACATGTCTAAAGGGATAAGATGCATTCTGGTTTCTTCACATATACATAGGATCATAGAATGGTTTGAGTTGAAAAGGACCTTAAGCTCACCCAGTTCCAACCCCTGCCACAGGCAGGGACCCCTTCCACTGGAGCAGCTTGCTCCAAGCCCCTGTGTCCAGCCTGGCCTTGAACACTGCCAGGGATGGGGCAGCCACAGCTTCTCTGGGCACCCTGTGACAGCACCTCAGCACCCTCACAGGGAAGAGCTTCTGCTTTATATCCAACAATTGTACTTGGAAGGCTTTCTTTACCATACAAACTTCCTTGCAGTTATTTATCAATGTTTGTCTCCCTTTAGAGATCTTAATACAAGTTCTTCAGAGGTGAAAATGGTCCTGGCATCTCAGAGAAACATTCTGTCTCTGCACAGAGGCCCTGGGTTTTGGGGGTGTTCTTGCAACAAGCTGGTGCTTGCATTACTTTGTGGTTTGTAGCTAACATAACCCTTCAAGCCTGAGGGCTGTCCTTGCTTTATGTACCTGGTGAGGGCTGTGAAAGCATAGCTGGGATGTCAGAGAACTCAAAACCTGTGAGGTAAATTCCTCAAGGAGACTGGGTGGAGGAGGAGCCAGAGCTCTCTGCTTTGAACAGGCATCAGAAAAATCTTGGAAGGAGATCATACACCCCATTTGTGCCTTCCTCTCTCAAGAGGAAGACTTTAATCTGCATAAATTAAAACATAAATTGCATAAATAGGCTCCTTGTTTGTATTACTGCCTTTCCTGAATATTCCTTATTTGCAGGCCTCATAATGCCCATTGAAAGATGGAGCAAATGGATATTCTTGTCTCGAGGCTTTGATGAAGGTTATGGCAAGCAGGAATTATTCTTCCTCAGTGCTTAGCCAAGCTACATGTCCTTTGCCCCTTTCTGGCTCAGGTTGGGTATGACCTGCAGCTTGGTGAAGTGTCTACCTGGAGTGCAGGGACAGCTAAGGAGTGAGCTGAACCACTGCATTTGACACCAAAGTGCCTGGTGCTTCAAGAACGGGAGTCAGAGTTGGGCATGAGTTCAAGGGAGAGTGTGACAGGAAAGGAGCCAGAACAGTAAAATCCCTGATCTTTTCAGTACCTCATTTTTCTTGAATATACAGTGTATGTTTGTGACTTTGGAAGTAATACCTTATCATCTGCAGCTTAGCTGTGCTGTGCAGTTGTTATTTTGATTACATGGATGCAGCTTTTTGCCCTGCAGTTTCAGGCATAACTCCCGCTTCTTGTTGTATTATCAGCATCAAAGACAGAGAGAATTGCCACTACACCATGCTAAGGTAAAAGTGTATGTTGCCCAAGGGTTACTGCACAGACAGGACTAAGACTCGCAGCCCCTGAACTTAATTTCCTGGTTTGAAATGAGCGGTTGCTCTGCTCGCTGCTGAGCACTCGTGACTCCTCTCGAAGGCTGAGAGCTGCAGGTTATGGGTATTCCTGAAACAGGAAGCTCAGCTGTGTGAGGTTAGATTGCCCACAACAGCCACTTGAATGAATGGTCATTACAGATTCAACCTGAGGCCTCTCCTGTCTCTTTCTCAGTCTTTTCAGCATGTCCAGTGGTTATTGTTTTCTCCAGAGGCACAATCATCAGATAAGTATTATTGAACTTAGAGATTCAATGCAAAATAATACCATTTCTTCTGTATGGCAAATAACAAAACAGTGGCAATCTGTACATTCAGATAAAGAAACATAAAACAATTCTAGAACTACAGAATGTTGTACAAATTGAAATCTCAACCAAATGCTTACCAGCTGCAAGGTCCAGCCAATGTCTGAAGTGTTAGCCTGAGATAGAGGAGATTAGATTCAGTTCCCTCCATGCAGGACTTTGAGCGATCTTAAGCAAATAACATGATTGTTCCCTTCCCACTCTTCCCATGCAATGCAAATAACACTTTTCCCTCATGGGTGTGTTGTAAGTACAATAATGACTGCAAAGTTCCCAGAATATGGGACTCTAACAATTCCCTTGAACCGAGATTCCTCTGTGTCAACATTTGACTATGTGATAGTCCTCTGTCTCACACCGTGTTTTCAATTCAAAGTACTTTTCATCTGGTTTTGAGAGCTCAAACATTATTACACGGGGTTGGATTATACAAATCTGGGGGCTCTGTGTATGAAAGCCCACTAAAAAAGCAGTTTCCACAAAGATACTGTTTTCTTTAATCCATCACCATTATGCTAGTTTTTATGCAATTATATTAGTGAAGTAAGATTTCAGAGCTGTTGTGAAGAGCTATTTATGCTACTTGATATTATTTTTAATTACATTCTGATCACATACTATTTAGTGTTTCACGTTTGAACACCAGAGTTTCAAATTAGGGAAATTTCAAGTAGCGTTTTCAGGAATATCTAGGGCACTTTGGAGTCCACGTTCACTCCTATACCCCTTGAAGATGTTTGACTTTATGGGTACCCGCTGTTCATCCCCTCCCTCAGCTCGCAGAGACACGGGAAGCACCAGCAGAAGAGATGAGGATGAGGAACACGTGTGGCTCAGCCTGGTGTCCTCTGCTGCACCTGCCTGAAGCTCACCTGTGCTGGATGCTGCCTGCTGACACACTCACTTAAAGGACTTGCTGACTCCTGGTGCTGGCACTGACAAGGTGACAGAAATAGTTGAGCCCTTGTTCAGCAGCAACCTCACACCAAAGGTCTATGACAAGCCTGTGTGAGGTGGGTTATGGCATGCACAAAGAATGGTTTATCTGGGACATTCGGGTGTTTTATAGAATATGAATACGTCAGCAGACTTCATTAATCAATTCTCGGCCCTTATTTCTATATAATAGTTCTTTGCACTTCTTGTGACCATCGAAAATACCTTTTACCTGTTTGCATAAAGTATTTCCAATATACATATAAAATAATTATGCACTGGTAATTGCACACTAACATGGATATACTTTCATACACTTCAGAAAGAAGCTATAGAATTTTCTTTTTAAGCTCAGCATTTTAGCACGATTTTCTCATGTTGTAAATCCTGGCAGATTTACAGTTCTAGAGCTGGAATTGCTGCTACAATGCTCAGATGTCAGCACTGAATATGGAAAGCCCATAAACTTAGCTGAGCTGCTTTGCAATAGCATGGTATGAAATTGTTACTGATGTAAATCAATCCTTTGTCGAGATAATAGTAAAAATGCATTAAATCATAATAAATTTGTAAGTGCCATGGCTTTACCTGGGTAATTTTGCTAAAGGAAAGCTGCTCAGCTGCAGATGGATGCCCAGGAGCAGGAAGAGCACAATGGAGATTTCTCCTTGTCTGTGGGCATTGTGAATAAAGCATGGGGTGACGCAGATGTGATCCACAGTCCACAGCAGCAAACAAAACCATCCAGTTCTGTATAGAAGAAACCATCCATGGTGCTGTTCGTGGTGATACACAGACGTACTGATGTACTGCTCACCTAAACTGCTCCTGAACTGCCCAGCATCCCCAGCCTCCCCACTGCACCCTGTATTGTCTGTTCCAGCAGTGCCCTCTACTGTCTCATAGCATTGTGTCCAAAGAGCTATTGTCCCCAAGTCTCAAGTATTTTAAATCGAGCTCTCAAAAATCATCATTTGCTTTTAAAAAGATGAAGAAAAGATATAATGATATTATGTTGTTTTATTATATGCAAGTTACACATTAAATAACCAAATACAAAATAGCCCGTAACAAAGGCATGAGTAGATGTCTGGCATTTTCTAGCTACAGTCTCATTCAAGAATTAAGGTTGAAAAAATGGCATTGTCAGAACTCCTTAGGCATTTTAAGTCTCCAAAACTTACTCCAATACAGTCTACTAAAGGTCTAAGCCACTCTCTTGTGTTTCCTTGTGAGGCATCAGTACCTCTAATTTACTCAAGAGAGAGAAAGGCCATGCAATTTCAGGTGTATTCTGATAACTTCTGAGTACTCCAGTACTCAGTACAGAGACAAGCACAAGAGCAGCTGTGAGACAAAGACTCTCACCTTTCTGGATCCCCCTTCAAGTGCCACAGTTCACTGTATGGTTTTGTACAAGTTTGGGGTTTGTTCTGTAGAAATGATCTAAGAGACCTTAAAAACCCAGACGCTTCTGGCTACATCCATTTGCCATTGTAAGCAAGAGACAGTGAACAAGTAGATTCGGTTGTTTCTTGTTCTGTCTTGAGCAAGATGAAATGTTGTGATGTCGCTAGAGCTCATCTGAGATTAGGACTTGCATCCTTGCTGAACTGGGGGAGGTTGGTGACACAGCAGTGCTGTTCTGCTTGGAGTTCCATCACTTTTGAGTCACATCTCCTCCAAAAGAAAAAGGAACACTGCTCTTCATTTCCTGACTCTCTAGTCCTTTATCCATCTGATTTATTGGTGAATTAAAGCTCAATTCACTTTCGTTTCACTTTAGAATATCCTTAAAGAATTTGAAACTACTGATGTGGTCATTCATCTTCACAAGGTCTGGACAGGTTTTCTTCTTGATAAAGGTCTCTTTAAGCAAGTCATCTGTATAGTAGTAAATATGTTTTCCAGCTGTGGCTATCCTAGCAACTTAAAGGCAATTGGGGTTGGTAACTCAAGCATTTAAAACCAGGAGTGGTTAAAGTTTAATCCACAATGATAATGTGGCGATAGAAACCGTGTGTCAGGATTCATTCTTCACCTGGAGAACATAGTATGGTCTCTGAGGGAACACGGGATGGCTACAACAGACCTCTTTAATGCTTAAAAGTAGGATTTTCCACCATGAACAGGTACCCAAACTGCTCTACTAATCACACTCAAATCTGGAGTCATTATTTAGTACTTGCGCTGGGCATCCCTCAACTGACCATTAACATAGCATCTGTGATCTTCAACTGCATAGTCATCCTCACCAGGATTGCATCAAAGGATCTGCACAAGCCTATCTCTATACTTTTCTGCAATTTGGCCTTTTCTGATCTCTTCACCAGCTTTTCTGGCTTTTGGATTTCGATGCTGTTCATCACCAATCCTGACATTACAATCTTTGGATCCGAGGACATGCTTGAACCTTATGCCTTTTACACCATGTCTATTTTATCCACCATCTATAACTTGGTCAGCATTGGAATTGAACGCTACCTGGCTGTGGCTGAGAGCATGAAGACAAGGTTCGGGGTTGCTAGAAACCATTCCATAGCTGCAGTTTTAATGAGCTGGGTCCTGGCTTTCTTTCTGGGCTGCTTGCCATTGATGGGGTGGAACTGCTTGAGTACAGGAAAAAAACCCTCTGTCCTCTACAGTCCTTTTTGTGTTGACTACCTCATCTTCATCACCATTCCCAATGTTGTGGTGGCTTTTCTTATACCTCTGTTCACTTACCTTAGAATCATTATCATTTTGAGGAAAAGAAAGATGAGAATGGAAGCATGTGGACAAGCCACCGGCACCTACAAATCGGCTGAAACCCAGGTTGCCAGAACCAGTATTGTTATTTGGCTCCTGGCACTGATCTCCTATGCTCCTGTATTCGCAGGAGTCATATTTGATGCACTTAACAAGCAGTGCCACACTGATCTCTACCCAGGAGTCTATATCTTCCGAAACTGCACAGCTATGCTGATAACCATAAACTGTTTGGGAAACCCCATCATATATACCCTGAAAGCCAAAACTCTGGGGGCTAAGCTCAAGGCTCTGAAATGCCTCTTCACTGCCCGTGTTCGAGCATGCACCCTTGAGAACATCTAGCTGGGACTGCCCTTGGTCCAGTACTGCCTTTGGTCTGGGACTGCTGATGTGCCTGGCTGGTGTGGTCAGGGACCTAAAATCACGGTGATCCCTGCCCATGCCCAGGCACTGCAGCAGCTCTGGGTGCCACATGGTCCCTGTAGAAGGGCCGTTGGAGCTCCATGGCTTCTCACAGCAGCATCCACCACCTTTGGGAGGGAGAGGATGAGCTGCAGCCTGGCGCTGGGCACCGTGGTGAATTGCAGCATGGTGCATGCCTGCTTGCCTTGCTGCAGAGTGGAGCAGGAGAACTCCTTCACTCAGAGATAACTCAATTAGCCACGTTTACTTTGTGTTTGGAAATAAGCTTCTGCTGGGCTTGCTTTGCTGCTGACATTCACATCCTTGGTGCTATTTGTATGGTTTTGAAGGTGGCTAAAAGGTCTGCAGTAATCTGGGTGAAAATGTACTTTTACCTTCTCACAGTCAGTCCAATTGTGTCTCTGGATATCTGGTGGAGCTCTTTCTTAATGGGGGCACTCAGCACTGTTTTACTGTTGTAATTTTAACTGCAGTATGTAGCTGGATTACATGGTTTTATGGGACATTTGTGACTACGCTTTTCTTTTATAATAGCAAGTAGTGACAGGACAAGGGGGAATGGCTTGAACCTGCCAGAGGGGAGACTGAGATGAGCTCTTAGGCAGAAGCTCTTCCCTGTGAGGGTGCTGAGGCTCTGGCACAGGGTGCCCAGAGAAGCTGTGGCTGCCCCATCCCTGGCAGTGCTCAAGGCCAGGTTGGACACAGGGGCTTGGAGCAACCTGCTCTAGTGGAAGGGGTCCCTGCCCATGGCAGGGGTTGGAGCTGGATGATCTTAAGGTCCCTTCATGAGTCTATGATATTTCTGGTTATAAACAGAGGCACGCTCAAGTCCATGGCTTTTAAAACTTGCATTGTTCTAGGAGAAAATCTCACTTGAATTCTTCAGTATCAGAATTGCAGTCGAGTTGCCTGTACAAAAATGGAAGTGTCAAGACCAAGTGTTTTGTAAAAGGAGAAGGTTTTACCCCCTTTGTCTCCGAAAAATAGGAATTGGCTACTGAATAGTGGATCTGTCAGATCCTCATGCAGATGAATGCATATTCTTGGTTATACTAAGGACAAAATCCCATCAACCTGCTTCTGAGTGGGTGTGAGAAATGGGCATGTTCTGTGTATGAGGTGGTTCACCCCCCGTGTCAGAACCGGGCAGGTGCCACCCCAGTAATGAAGCCACTGCTCAGTGGTAGTGGTGGTTGTAAACCCCCTCCTCTGGGCTGCTTTACACTGGAGACCTCGGGGAGAAATTCATCTTCTGACACTTAAGGAAATGGATGGACTGAAGCGGGTGTAATTAAAATGAATGATTTAAATGGATACTGTAACTCAGGCAGATCACACTGGCTCTGCTTCCCCTCTGCTCTGGGCTCCACACCACTAACCTGGGAAGAGTTTGTCTGGAACCTGAGCATCTGCCTCCTGCTGAGGGTGTTTCAACCGAACTTAGGAACGGGAGAGCCAACTACAGCTTACCACAGGGCAGATGGTACGGGTCAATCTGGGACGGGTTTGTTGTGTGATATGTATGATATGATATCGTTTTGATTCATCTCTGTATTGACATTGGCAAAGTGACCCGAATATGTAACGCATATTCACTGTCGCTGTGATTGTCATTTCAAAAGCAAGGTGACAGCTGCAATCCAGCTGGAACCCTTCCTCAAGAGGGCATATATATTTGCCTGTATATTCAAATAAATGTATGTTCAAATAAGTATATGTGTATTTAAATAAACATATGTTTAAATAAACATATATGTAATAATAGATATAGACTATGATAATCTGTATTATATATAGATATAGAAATATTTTATATAAGTTATACATATATAAATAATACGGATAAATATATATTTACATAAATAAATGTATAAAGAAATAGCCCTGTGCCCTGGGGCAGCCAGGGCTGCGCTTGGTCTGTGCCACCCCCCCCTCCATCCCTCACTCGGCGCTGGACTAGCGAGCCTGGGTGGAGGCGCTCGGCGCTCGGCGCTCTGCCGGCCGGAAGTGCCGCAGCGGCGGGCACCATGCGGGCCCAGCGGGAGTGCGCTGTGTGCGGGGCGGCCGGGGTGGCTAAGTACCGCTGCCCGCGCTGCGCCGCGGCCTAGTGAGCACCGGAACCGGCACCGGGCGGGAGGGAGGGAGGGGCGGACCGGGGCCGGCGCTGCCTGGCCCACCCCGGGGTGGGGAGGGGGAGAGGCTGTGCGGGGTCAGGGGTGCGGTTACCGCCGCCTCTAACGTTGTCTGTCGCCCCGTAGCTGCTCCGTGCCGTGCTGCAGGACACACCGGGGTGAGTGACGGCGGGGCCGCGGAGGGGCCGGGCGGGCCGTAGCGCTGTTATAACGCCGTTGTTTCCCGCAGAGCGCTGCACGCCGGAGCCGAAGCGGGAGCAAGAGCCGTCTGCAGCGCTGCCCGCCCCGCCCGCAGACAGCCCCTGGTCGGTGGACGACATCCTGAGCGAAGAGGATGAACGGGACCGCGTCCCGCTGCAAAAGCTCAAGCTCCTCGGTAAGCTCGAGCGGTCAGACACGACCCGGGGAGGGGTGGGGGACCTTCAGCACAGCGAGCTGCGGTGATCCTGGTTCCCAGGAACTCTGTGGAGCGCTGCAGTTTATCCCGGTCGGGCACCTTGTTGCAGGATCTTAAAAGATGCAGATGTCATGTCTTTGTGAAAGCTCATTTTCAAAATAAGGGTGATCTCAACCGACTTTGTAACTGTTTGAGACCATAGATGAGCACTGTTCATCTCTTTCTAAAGGGGAATCGGAAGAACTGAGAACCCTGCTTCTGAATCCACATCTCCGGCAGCTCCTGGGGACCCTCGATCAAGCAGAAGACAAGAGCTCCCTCATGAAAAAGTACATGCAGGAGCCGTTATTTGTCGAGTTTGCAGACTGCTGCTTGGGAATTGTTGAGCCTCCAGAGAAGGAGAACGTTCTTCCTGAGTGAGCTACTTTGGGAACACTTTCCTTAAGATTTTTGCCTTGTGACAGAGAGACCAGCAGCACCCGTGCTGGTGTGGTGCACTCTGCTGGGCACTTCCTCAAGACTTGCTCGTGCTTTGCTCATGGGTGTCAGTGCTCCAATTTAAACACGGACGTGATTGGACAGATTTTTAGATGCTAGGAATTAAACTTGATGGATGTGCTTTCTGATGGTACAGAAACACTGTCAACCCTGGGAAACACTGCTTTCCAATGGCAACATTAAACATATTTGCATTTATTTTAATCCACAAACTAATGTGGTTTTCTTAACTAAACCTTGTTGCAGATGGTCAGGCACCTTGACAAGGTATTCAATGGTTTATTTAAAAGTGGCATATACACAGGAGAGCCGAACACTTTCAAGGCTGATACAAGCAGCAAAGAGGCAGTCTAGAGCATCTCTGGGGAAAACCCTGGCCCTGTGGCAGAGGCCCTGCTGTTGACAAGGGAGTCCTAGAAATGCATGGCAGCTGGGAGGGTATATATATTTTGGTTGTATAGATAAAAGCCAAGTGTTCAGTCTTGCTTTTCCCTGAGACATCTGCCTTTAGTGTTACAGAATCACAGAATCCCAAGGGTTGGAAGGGACCTCAAGAGATCATCTGGTCCAACCCCCCTGCAAGAGCAGGGTAACCTAGAGTACATCACACAGGGACTTGTCCAGGCAGGCCTTGAATATCTCCAACATGGGAGACTCCACAACCCCCCTGGGCAACCTGTTCCAGTGCTCTGTCACTCTCACAGTAAAGAAGTTCTTCCTGATGCTAACGTAGAACCTTCTATGCTCCAGTTTACACCCATTGCCCCTTGTCCTATCACTGGACATCACTGAAAAAAGCCTAGCTCCATCATATTTGTAAACACTGATGAGGTCACCCCTCAGTCTCCTCTTCTCCAAGCTGAAGAGACCCAGCTCCTTCAGCCTCTCCTCATAAGGGAGGTGTTCCACTCCCTTAATCATCTTTGTGGCTCTGCGCTGGACTCTTTCAAGCAGTTCCCTGTCCTTCTTGAACTGAGGGGCCCAGAACTGGATGCAATATTCCAGATGCGGCCTAACCAAGGCAGAATAGAGGGGGAGGAGAACCTCTCTTGACCTACTAACCACACCCTTTCTAATGCACCCCAGGATGCCATTTGCCCTCTTGGCCACAAGGGCACATTGCTGGCTCATGTTCATCCTCCTATCCACCAGGACCCCCAGGTCCCTTTCCCCTTCGCTACTTTCCAGCAGGTCAGTCCCCAGCCTGTACTGGTACATGGGGTTGTTCTTCCCCAGATGCAAGACTCTACACTTGCCCTTGTTGAATTTCATCAAATTTCTCCCCGCCCAACTCTCCAGCCTGTCCAGGTCTCGCTGAATGGCAGCACAGCCTTCTGGTGTGTCAGCCACTCCTCCCAGTTTAGTGTCATCAGCGAACTTGCTGAGAGTACACTCGGTTCCCTCATCCAGGTCGTTGATGAAAATATTAAACAGCACTGGTCCCAGCACCGACCCCTGAGGGACTCCACTAGTCACAGACTTCCAGCTAGATTCTGCCCCATTGACCACAACTCTCTGCCTTCTTCCTTCCAACCAGTTCTTGATCCACCTCACTACCTGATCATCAAGCCCACACTTCCTTAGCTTATCTATGAGAATGCTGTGGGAGACAGTATCAAATGCCTTACTGAAATCAAGAAAAACCACATCTACTGCTCTACCATCATCCCTCCACCTAGTCACTTCCTCATAGAAGGCTATAAGGTTGGTCAAACATGACTTCCCCCTCATAAAACCATGTTGGCTGTTCTTAATAACCCCCTCATCCTTGATATGCCTAGAAATGGAGTCAAGAATAAGTTGTTCCATCACCTTTCCAGGGACAGAGGTAAGGCTGACCGGTCTATAATTACCCGGGTCCTCCTTCTTGCCCTTCTTATAGACTGGTGTGACATTTGCCATCCTCCAATCCTCAGGCACCTCTCCCGTTTCCCACAACTTACCAAAGATGATGGAGAGTGGCCTAGCAATGACCTCCGCCAGCTCCCTCAGCACCCATGGGTGCATTCCATCCGGACCCATCGATTTATAGATGTCCAGATTGCATAGCTGATCCCTAACCCAATCCTCATCTACCAAAGCAAACTCCTCCTTTGCCCTGACTCCTTCTGGGGCAATAGGAATCTGGGGCCCCCCGGGAGAGTCTGCAGGAGTAAAGACAGAGGCAGAGAAGGCATTCAGCACCTTTGCCTTCTTTATATCCTCTGTCTCCAGAGCACCCACCTCGTTCAGCAGTGGGCCTATATTGCCTCTTGTGCCTTATTTGCTCACTCATTATCAGCCTCTTGCTTCTCCCAGGTGGTGCCAGAAGTGTTCAGTTCAAGTATTTATTGCTTAAAGCATTTGATTTCTTTTAATTATGTTGAATATTCTCATAGTACTGGTATTTCCTCTAATATGTGCTTGTGTGTGAGAGGAGGAATGTCCCCCCATTTTAAATTTGAAGCATATTATACATGCTGAGGTAGCAGCAGATATGGACGTTAAGTAATTTGAAAGCAGCAGCTTGCAGACAGCCCTTCCATGAAGGAAAAAGTCCAGTAAGATGGCCAAAAGCTATGTTGGAAGGAGCTTTTTTCTGTCCAATAAAATCTGGTTAAATCCAGTGATGGAGTAGGCATCTGTGTGGGGGCTGACATCTGCGTAATGCAGGGGAGACTTCTTACAGTGGAACTTGACAGAGCCCTGGAAGAAGAGGAGGAGGAGAGATCAGCTGATGTTCCTGCCCCATTTTGAGCTAATTTTGCTATTCAGACTAAAGGGGCTTCAGTATGTAGACAACTAATGAATAAGGACAGAGGAAGACCTCCACAGGAGTCCTAGTACAAATGGATTTAAGATCAAGGAGTATTACAAAGAGTACTAATACTGTAATTTGAAACTCAATTAGCTTAAACTCTGAGGATTTGAGGAGTTAGTACTGAACTTAGTACTGCTTCTTCCTGCTTGTAACTGTGACCAAGCACAGGCTACATTCTTGCACACATAATTTTATGCAACTTCAACAATTTGTCAACAAAAGCCAAGCACAAGGTGATTAGTAACCAGAGTGCAATTTCCAAGAGAAGCCAGTGTGGGCTGTGCCTCGTTTGTAGTAAGTGGTGTCTAAGACTATTCTGCATGAGCATAGGAGTTTAAATACTTGAGGTTTGCTCCTCACTTTCTGCCATGAAAATCCTCTGTGTGAATCAGTCTGTGCAGTTATTAATACAGAAGCACTGGGATATTATTAATACACCCAGTGGCTTTTCCCCAAGTGGATTCATTTTCATGGGTTCACCTGTTGTGCAACTTGAATCCCCTAAGCAGAAAACCCAGTACATAATAGCAGAGCCTGTATTAGGATCCTGTGCTCTCCATGTCTGAAGCACAGCTTTGATCAGTTTGTTCCTGTGGCAGAGATAAGAGTTTTCATGCTTAGCTGAAAGTCTGAACTCGGCCCCATGTCCAGCTTGACCCATTGATGTTAGAGTCATCTTTAGGTATCAAGGCCAGTGGGAGAAGAAAGGTGCAGCTCAAGAGCAGATTTCACAGTTGTTCTGCTCTATAGCACAGAATTCAGGTTCCTGCACTCATGGCAGCTTCATCGTGCTGCTGACTCGAGTGCATGAGGTTTATTACCTGTGGGAGAGCTCTAATGGAGGTGATGCCACAGCCAAAGAAACAGCTTTTCACCTTGTAGCAGTCATTCTCCTGAAGCACTTTGAGACATGCCAGCAAGGACAGGTCCCTCCGAGGCCCTGTTACAGTAATGGGTGCAGCAGCCAGGACAAGCCCAAGAGGCCAGAACTGAATTACTGCCTGCAGAGGCCAAGTTGTTTCCAAAGAGCAAGGTGGTTTGGCTGAGATCAGCGTAGCTCCAGGAGCGGAGAACCCCTTTTCTTCACCCTCATCCAATTCTGCTGCTGCTAATGCAGCCATTTTTGCCTGATGAAGAGATGCAGAAAAATATTCTTGACCAAGATTCTCAAACAACTTGAACAACATCTTAAACTGCAAAACTTAAGTCTAAAAGAGAGGGCATCTTAAAGGGTAGGACACCCCCCAGGGTCTTCCCATTTCATGAAGGAAGGAATGAATTGATTCTGCCGTCTATGCTGCTACCCAGTAGAAGCAGCTGTGCAAGACCTGGCATGCATCTTCAGCTTGAGAACAGTGTTCTGAAGCAGTGACAGTACTGGTTTTGTGCAGTTCGTTGACAAAGGCAGAGTCTTTCTCAGACGCTAAAAAGCCTCAGTCACTCAATGTTTTCCTGTACCAATGTACTTACTTTCCATTTCCTCCAGCCACACTTAATGACACGAGCAGCCCTGCGCATCCTTTGGAAGCGATTCTTGGCTAACCAGGAACGAACAGCTGAAGATTGAATTAAAAGAAACCTGAGTACAAAGGATCTCAGAAGCCCCTACACACAATACAAGTGATGGTGCTTCAGCTTTTCCATACTCAGTTACCAGAATCACTCCTGCCACTTCCAACACCCAGTGTAACTGGAAATGTTATGTTCAGCCTCACCCTTACCAAATTACCTGCTTGGATGACAGTTGCAGACCACCTCTCCTTTGCTAGTTTCCTCTGTTTAAATCTTCTCCAGCAACACTGAATGCAAAATGCTTTCTCATTTAGCACCTCTGCTCTTCTAGTTTCCAGCTGCTCCAGCTGCATCAGGGGATACGAGCCTGCAGTTAATACTTGGGGATGGAGTTGTGCTCACAACTCCTCTCTCTTCTACGGCCTCTTGGTGTTTGTCAGAAAACCACATGCATGTGTCAGTATCTTAAAACTGCTGGATTAGGGTTTAGAAGTGAGAGCACTTCTTTGGTGCTTACTGGATAACATATCAAATAGAAATATAAGTATCTGGGGGGGGCACAGTGTGGTAGGAAAAAGTGGAGACTCCCAGTTTCACAGTAGCAGCTGGCTTAAAATTAGCTCCATTGAAAGGGGTTCTTTTATGGCTGCATCCTCCAGTATATAAACTTTGCAAAGTAACTTTATCTCCTTCACCTCTTTTACAAAGACACTGCTTAAGCCTGTGGTCACGCTGGCCATGATGCTCTGTGCCAGAATCCCCATTACAGAAGTACACTCCGGAACTGTTAGCCAAGGCAATAGCACTCTTACCACAGAATTCGCCATAAATACTTTGGTTTTGCCGCAGTACACGGACATGTTTTCTGCTCTGTTCCCTGTCTGCCCAGCAGCACTTTGTCCAGTCACATTCTGAAGGATCTCAAAAACCACAGAGCGTGATGCTCTGTCATCATCTGCCACTGGAGTCTTGCCTGCAAATGCAGCATTGAAGAGAAGGTATCACCAAACTTGGGAATTGGGACTGAGTAATTGTCTTTTACACTGAGGCTTCCTACCATCAAGGGGGGAAACACCTACAAGAGGGGAGGAGGTGATGGCTGATGTATCAGTAGATCTATTTGGGCTTATGGGAAGAATGTGACAGGGTAGATTTTACCATGTGCTAGCAATGAGAAAAACAGCATGGTGTGTTTTAATTAGGATGTAGTTTAGGTGCTGTCTTATTGCCTAAGTTATAACCTATCCATAGGTAACAGATGTCAAGTCTCAAATGTAACAAATGGAGGGCTCAGCTGTTCTCACACTGTTTAAAGCCTCCTACATGGAAACATTAGAAAGCAACAGCAATGCAATTAAGAATAGATTTGAGCAGCTCAGTCCTAAGAAAATCTGATGGAATAGCCAAATCTCAAAGCTAGTGGGAACAGAACAAAAAGCAAGGAATTAGACACCTAGCCTTAATGTACTGAAAGATGTGAAATGGAAAACAAATTCTACGCAACTCTACAGCTTTCACAGGGCATCAGAAGCAGCTACACGGGCATGTACTAAGCAGGATTTTATTGCAGCAGTAAGAGGTTATTAAAACCACTTTGGGGACACAGCACACAATTCTTTATGTTATGGGACAAACAGGTTAGCCAGATTAATCTGTTTGGAAATAGAGGCAGACTTAATTCAGACCTGTCCTTGAAAGAGACTGTGTTGTTCAAGGCAATGCTGCATGAGTTTCTGCATGCCCAATGCTGGAACTTGATGGTCTTTGTATCTCTCCATCCTGGATACTGTTTGCTTTCTGATATAAATATTTCTAAGGAGATGAGAGCATTTTAAGGTACTGAAAACAAATATAAGCAATTCTAGCTTATAGGAAGACATCTGGTGACTATGGTGGTGTTCATGGGGCTGGGCTGATAAAGGAATCAAAAGCTTATCTCCGTGTTTAGGAAATGGTTTTGCTTTTGTTTGTAGCTTATTAAAAAGATAAAAAGCACTAGTAACCCATCACAGTGAGGCATTTCAGCTAATGGGTTTGTAATTGAGGGGCAAGGATATGGTGTGTAAGTCATTTTCCAGCCTGTACTTCATTATTTCGTTCCATTTCTACAAGGTGCATGGATTTCCAGCCATTTTACCTATCTGACACAGGCTGGTACTCACTGGTCCTGCTTCCCACATCTGCTGGTTACTAAACCCATTGGGTGAAGATAGCATTAAACTGGGAGAGAGAAGGGGGTTGCAGTAACTTTCAGTATTGACTGTATCCACCTGATGAGCTCCTTTCAGGGCTTCATACCGAAGATGTTACCTTGTAGACTGGATTGTGTTTTTTAAAGTCCATCCTCACTCTTTCTTATTAAAAAGAATCACATACAGAAGTTTGCAAAAGGTAGAAGCAGCAGAGTCCAGGTAAGGTAGAAGGCCAGTGTGTTCAGCAAGAAAACAAGGTGGGGGAAAAGAGAAGGAAAGAGAAGGAATATAAGCAAAAAGGTTAAGTGGTTTTCACATCTACTCGACAACCAACTGTAGATCAAATTATATTGTGGGGGACCCGAAACACCATCATAACTGTAGCTGTTCTTCCCAAGAGGAACACAAAGAAACAGCAGTAAGAGGAAAGATTTACACTTTCTAAGAGCCTGTTGTAAGCATCAGGCAAATCAGAAACTCAATTTGGTGATAGATTAGAAAAGTATCTTGAGAACAGTGGTGCCCTTAAGTGGTGAATACAGTGATTGTGTCTGATCTGTGCGATATTGAATTGGCACAGTGATCGTTTTACTTGATGGCAGAGGGATTATCTAAAGAAACATACCATTTTGCTCAGCAGTATGATAGTTGCTTTTATCACAGCCTCTGTTTTTATTGCATCCACGTGATGTTCTCAGTATTTCATAGCGCTCAGTGAAACTCTGGAGAGGGATTCTGACAGACAAACATACAGTTAATCCTAGGCAAGTATCATTTGCTAGAGGGTAAACAACCGACCTGTTGAGGGGGAGATGTTGCAGAATGGCTTCAAAGAGAATGCAAATACACCAGTGCTTTTGTAGTCACCAACATGCAAGAAATCATGGACTTTCTGAAGGAATTCAGGGGCTGCCTATTGCCCAGTAACAGTGACTTTTGACTGTAACAAAGACTAGGTGGGAACTCTGCTTCTTTATGGTAATGGTGAGCTTCTCCCCATGGATCCTGAGCTGTCACAAATGTCAGCAGCTCAGGCCTCATTCTCTCCGTCTTCTGAATGCGGTCACAAAAGCCCAGCAAGGGCACTGGCTGCAATGAGCTGCTCAGCTTGGAGATGACCACCTTTTATCATTTTGGTTTAGTTGCTGAAAATGTTACTGTGAAGCCACATTCCATTAGAAAGTTTTAGTACATAATAGTCCACATCAAAACATCTCTTCCCCAGCTTCTTAGACTGGAAGGGCACAGTGAGCTCTTGGACCAGGGGTGTGTTATAGACACATCTGGACTTCATTAGTATTTAGTGTATTTTTAAGAATCCCATTGCTTTGAGTGCAAGTTGTGCTAGCACTGCTTTTTAGACTGTTACTGCACTTCTGGACTTGCTGAATGAGCAGTTTCATAATCCAAAGTGCAGAAGAACAGTCCAGATTTGCAACAGGTATTTTTGTCTCCAAAATGTGAAAGAGGTGCTCAGATAAGCTTAAATGCAAGCAGTGAGCAGAACATTTCAGACATCAGCTTCAGAAAGGGACAGAATGCAAACTGTTTGGATGTTGTGCTTATAAGATCCTCTGGAACACTAACATGTCACTAATTGCTATAGAAATGCATTATGGAACACATTGCTCAAGAAGTTTGGACTTACCTAACAGGGAAGCCTGCTGCACTGATGGTGATGGCTTCAACAATTCCACATGCCTTAAGCTGGCTGAGAACCTGAGGCATAAATTGAGATGGGTTAGGTAACCACTGTGGAAGCTGCTGCTAATGTCTGCCCAGGGTGTGCTCGACCCAAGCCATGTGCAGCTCAGCTCAGAGCCTGCCACTAACACTCAGAGCAGGGTCAAGGCAGTGCTAACACAGCAGGACAGTCCTCGTGTGCCCTCTCTTGCAGTATCCACACACCCTGCACTGACTGAATGCAGCACAATATGAAAAGCCAGTGTTGGTATTTTAATACTACTCGCATGCCATCAGCAGATTCTTCAAGTGTTTAAAATTAAGGCAGCACTACTCTAGCTGCTGTCTTTGTGTCAGACGAGGTTCTCTAGTTATAGCTTCAGCATCTGCTGCTCTGCTCCCAAAGGAATGCTTGTTGGCTGATCTCATCTAACTTGTCCTAGACCAGACCCCAGGAACAAGCAAAGTTTTGTTGTGGGCATTCACCATGAAGGTATCTGTGTGACCAGGACTGCTGAACAGTCAGATCACCTTTACCTGTTTTGAGGGCTGAGACGGCAGCACCCTAAACCACCCAGGAGCACTGAGTTAAGCTGCACCTGGAAGAGCTGTTGTGCTTACTAGTCCCATTTTAGACAAGCATCATCAGTGATTCTGAAAGGACATTTATCTTGGAAGCTCCAAAGGAGAAAAAGCTATTTAAAACTGTGCTGTGAGAAGAGCTTTGCAAGTAACTCAAGATCATGACACACCCAATGCAAAGCCCTACACAATCTCTCTGGGAAGCTTCTCATTGAACCTGTGAAGAAAGGCTTTTGAAAAGTTACCTCTTGTCTTTTAAAAGTCATTGCCTTGCAGTCGGCATTAGGCTTGATGCATCGGATGTAATGTGGTGTGGTGCTATTCAGAATCTCCATGAGATGTTCAAGTGAAGCCTGCAGAAAACAAATACAGGTTTAACCAGGGACTCCCCCTCCACAGGTAGTTGAGCTGATCAGTGCTCTGCTGTAAAAACTATGAAGCAATATTTTGCACGGCTGGCTTTACAGGCACAGCATTAGCAGAGCTCTGCTGTAGGGGCAGCTGGAGCAAAAAAAATCACTCTCTGGGTCCCTCTGTAACATTGTTGATGGTAAATTCAGAAAGTTTCCAAAATTCTAGCAGGGCATCAGCTGAAAATCCTCAAGGAAGAGGCAGGAAGCAGCCTCACAAAGGCAGGTGCCCAACTGTTAAAGTAAAAGGTAAAATTGGAGTGAGTTAAAACCCAGAGAATATCAGAAATCTGAAGCTAGTTCTGGTTTACACCTGTTTTGGCTTAATAGTATTTACTGATCTTGGCCCAGCTATGCTGTTTCCTCATCTAGTTATGAAGATAGCAGTAGAAAGCAGAATCTTCAATAGGGTGTACCTTGAACTTGGCCACCACTGTCACCACAGCTGCTCTGTTCTGGGGTTTGATGTTATTTTGGTTCCTTTCTGTCACAGGAAATAATTTCTGAAGCAAAGGGTCCTTTGAATTCTGCAGAACCTGAACCAGTTCTGGTGCAATGGGGTCCTGCAAACACAAACATCCCTCATTAGGATGGGGACTTAGGCAGAAACCTGCCACCTTTGAAAATGACTAAAAAATCTGCACATCTAAGTGGAACAGTATTTCTGATGCCAACTGTGATGGCTGTGGTTTCAAACCCGACTACATACATCCATTCAGTCAGGTTCAGGAACATTTAGCAAATCTAGTCCAGTGTATGACTGCTCCTAATGTCGTTCTCATACAACTGAAGTGAGCTGGAAGTCTCAGGACTAGTTTAATCCCTGCAGAACAGTCTGCAGCAGGTATTAGAAAGTCTTCCTTTTAATTAAGAGGTATTTGATTGCATGACTTGATACCACTTGCTGCAATTGCTGGTAGTGTCAGAACTGACAAGGGACCCTCATGTCTGCAAACTGTTTCACTTAGTCCTTGATGGCACAGTGAGGCCACAAGTTGAGTTTCCTGGTATAGCAGAACTTTCAGTAGTTGAATCCATGCTCTTGTTGCTCATAAATTTACCTGAATCGGGGGGGGGGGGAGGGGAGGGGAAGTGCTACATTTATGGAAGTGCTAATTTATGGTTATAGAAATGCCCTGATGTCATCAACTTTTCTGCACTCAGGCATGGAAGAAGCCCTGCTTTGGTGATACATGGTCCACTTAATGCTCAGCTGGAAGTTCTGCTGGCACAGCCTTTGCTGGTGCCACTGATAGTTCACTGAAAACCAGAGCAAGAATGTCACCCAGTTTTACACAGCCTGAAGGATTTATTTCCGAATCAAGGAGGTATGTCTATCTAATAAGCATCACTGAATATACTTGTTAGAGGTGCTTTGGTTTAAATTGCCTTAGGTCTGTAAGATTGTTTTATTTTGGTTTTTAACAGCTCTTCCTGAAAATACCTACCTTATTTTTCTCCACCATTGTTGCCAACTGATAGCAGACTTTGCCAGCATAATGTGAAATAATAAAGTTAGGCTTCTTACTAAACTTGTTTCGACTTAAACATTGATTACTAGACAAGGCCTTCTCAATCCGAGTTTGAAAGAGGTCAGTGTTACAGGATCTATTCAGACGGCACTCCTGCATGGCAAACAACACAAAATTGCGACATCTTATTCATCACAAAGAACTGTCTTTAAAAGCTAAACCACTTTAACATCAGACATTTTACTTTTAGAGTTGTTTTGAGTATGCAAGCCCTGAAATACCGGGGAGAAAAACAACCCCCCCCAAAATGCAACAGAGGCTTCATATTTGAATCAGAATATCCAGAAGAAAGGGAAAAAGACAACTTGGAATAGGAAGAAGCAGCACCACGATGCCTCTAAAAAATAGGCTCTGCAGAAATTCCATAGCTGACAAGCTTCCTATTATAAAATGTTTGTGTTTTCTTTGGTGGCATGGGATGGAAGGCAGGCAACTAGGACAAAGGCATTAGGGGTTTAGATCCAGACAGACTTACCTCATTCAGCAAAGAAAAAATGCTGAGGGGATTGCCCTCTATCAGATCAAGGCACTTCTGGTTATCCTGGTAGTCGATGAAAGACCACTGTAAGCCTTCAGCTGCATATTCTTCCTGCAGTAAGAGAAAGCCCGGTTATTCTGCAGCAGAGGGCACTAGAGCCCAAGGAACTGGATGCCTTTTTGCAGTCTGATGCAGTTACTGTTTAACGAGTTCATCCCAGGCTCAAGCCAGCTCATCCAAACTCAGCTCGTGTTCAACAGCAGTCTTGAGGGGAAGAAAACAAAGGATATTCTACCCCAGGTAGCTTTATCAGCGAGCACGGCATGGCTGCTTTCCAGAGTAAACAGAGGTTACAGTCACACTAAGCCTCTCCTGGCTATACTGGGTTTTTCCCTGAAGGGCAAAGAATGTGTGGAACTGCTTCCTTAGATTAGGACATAGCCCTAAACCAACCATTATGTGCCAGACTTTACTATGAAGCTGGGCTTCATTTAACACAAAGCCTGATCCAAAAGGTAGTGCAGAAAGATACTGGTTGACATAATTCATGCAATACTTATGCTGAATTACAGAACAAACTGGCAGGAGTGTTTAACAAGCACAGGCTCTGGCCAGTTATTTTAAAAGTCTCCTGCCAAAAGCTTGCTCAGCAGAGCCACTAATGGCATTTAAGTGGTTTGGGATACAGTCAGGTCAAGAGAGGTAAGAGGGCAGACAGGGAATGATACTATAAACAGAGGCCATGAATCAGGTACAAGGAAAGTAACTGTGGCCTTGAACTTGCTTTCCATCTTCACTGATCATTAACCCCTGGCATACTGGGGAAGACAGGCAGGAAAAAAACGCTGGTTATATGAAAGCATTAATTAAGCTCAAAGAGCTACTTATCTCCTGAATAAATTTGACAAAACTATGGCACGAGGCAGAAGGTGCCAGCATGTTGGTGCCATAAAGAAAGCAATTTCCCCAATTCCAGTTAATGGCTAAGAGCATTGTGGTAATTTATCTGTAATGTGGAAATTCAGTGAGGACTGAAGTACATCTATTAGAGTAGCAGTCCAAGCAGGAACTCTGCAGCTTTCAGAGCACTCAGATGAGAAATGGAACGAACAGTGTGTGACCAGTTAGGCAAGTGACTGCAGTGTATTTAGGATGGTGCAAATACCTTCTCTACTGTGAAACAACACAATCTGTGTACCTTCTCACTCAAAAATAAAAGCTGATGCACAGTGTGTTTTTGTCTTTCAAGGTACTGGCATGACAACTGGGTTTATGAAGCTGTTCTCCTATGGCAAAAGGCCTCCATCAGGTACCACGTCCTGTTGATGATTAGATTACAAGGTTCTTTGGGCTCTCTGCCTTCCCACTAAGGTCAGGTCTAGAAGCTCCCCACCCATTTAGGTGCTTTATACTTGAAGAGAATTAACGTGTTTATAAGCAGTAGCTTCCAGAAGACTCTCAACTTAGGTACACTCACCACAAGAATTTAAAGTGTTCAGCTCTTTGAGGGAAAGCAAATGGTTTAAAAAGCCACAAAGCCAATGGAGCTGTATAAGAGGGAACAGATTTCCAGTGCCCAGGGGAGAAAGCTGTCTCACTCCATCAACTGCTTCAGATTCTCTTTAACAAAGCAATTGTTACTCACAACCTACTGATGCCCGTGACATTACTTTCTTGACTGAAGGCTGCAATCTGACCAGAGGCACAGGAATATAATTAAAGAGACAAAAGATGATGCTTTAAAATTAGATATTTAACATTTGATCTCAGTGGGGTATTACCTGTTGTGCTTTCAGATAGTGCACTACAAAGTGCTGCTGCAGTTTCTCGTTGGCATAGTTAATACAAAGTTGTTCCAAGTTGTTTTCAGGGAAGGCTTCAAAACCGTAAACATCCAACAAACCTAGAAGGAATATGGGAAGACAGTGCATTTTGTTCTAGGAGTAGCTTGAAGGACTTATGGTTACTCAGTTAAACTAGGGTTTAATAACCATACCTATGAAGTTGGTCCATGTTGATGAATCTGCATAGATGCTTTCATTTATGACCAAAACGAGCCACTCAAACAATCTGCAGACATTGACAACTGGATTAGTTGGAAAGCCCTTGCTTACAACAATCAGAGTACTGTTCTTTTACTGCTGTTTATACCAGTACCACATGGAAGAAACAAAACACTGACATGCTGCTTGCTGACATGGAACAGCAGTTCTCTGAAGATCTCTCTAGGAGGTCTGCAGCTATGTCCTATCTACAAATGAATCAAGGGTGTGTCGAGAGGGGAAGGGAGGGTTACACCGTTATTGAATCCAAGCAGAAAGGCAGGGAAAGTAAATCTTTCTGGCCTCCCTACTCCCTCACGAAGTTGCGTGGATTAGCACAGCAGCCTGACCTACGTGTCCTTACTTGGCATAAATCACTTTGGCAAGGCAGTCCCTCCTGGTCTCACACTCGGTTCTGGAGCATGGCTTCTTGAAGACCTGTTGTTGTTTTCCAGCAGTTATTGTTCGAATCCTCAGCGACTCCAGCAGCTCCTCAACAGGGATGTGCAGCAAAGCTCCAGCAGTCTTCACAGAGTCTTGTTTGGGGAAAAAAAACATGGCAAGGTTATCTGGAGTGTCAAATGAACGCAGCCCCCTTAAGGTTATGGAAAGTCTAGAGATAGTACAGAAAAATGACACTTCCATGAGCTCATCAACTGAAATGTGGATTTTGGATCTTTTTACCCAAACCTGGGAGAAAGTTTTGCGAGACCGGACTCTTAATTTGGATGTACAGGACCTGTGGAGTTTCAGGTGCTCTGTTTGAAATGAAACAATAGTACCACAAAGTCTGATGTTTGCTACACTGAAGCAGGCATTTCAGGCATTTTACTCTCTAGGCAGGTCTTTGTTTTCACCTTTTCTGAACAGACACCTCTAAATCCAGACAGACAAATCAGTCATGACCAGAAAAAAACAGGGATTTTGGGGATAGCAGGGAAATACAGAAGAATGAGTATCTGCTAACAAAGCATTTAAGATCCTGCTAACCTGAGCTGTAGGCAAAACTATTTGAATATTAGGTAGTGTGAATTCAGAGCATGTGAATTAATAGCAGGAAACTTCACTATTCAGGACATTTCTGAAGGAAAACTAGATCCACACTAGTAGAACAACCTGTGTCCTCCACTGCAATTTGACAGATTTGCTGTTACTAAGTTTTAATCATGAAAACTCCAAAGCTTCCATTTTACAAGCCCTTCTCTCCACTCTGGGTCAGATTTCTGGATGTCTTGTGATGTCAGTGTAAGATTACAATCAGGAGTAACAGTTCTGCCAATAATCCTTCTGAAATGACTGTCTAATGTTGCAGCTGCCTTGCCCTATAACGGAAGGATATTGATTCTCAGAGCAGAGCAGCATTCGGGTTTTGTTTGTTTAGTACTTCAAAACCAAGATTTTGGGTTGCCCGTGACCTTGAGTCTCCTCCTATCAAGCAGAGAAGCACAGTAAATCCTGTACATCAGGCATCTGCACTAAGATAACAAGACTCTCTGGAGCATGACATGCTTGTTGCCTCACCTTTGGTTTTGTCTTCTAGTTCACAAGGCTGAGATTCATCCACTGGATTAGAGAATTGAACATTCCCAAGATGAAGAAGGCCTGAAAGTACCTGAAATATGATCAGTCATTCAGCTTTCTAAAACAGAGCTCTTTAACTCCCTTTAGTCACATGAACAGGACAGATCAAAACACTTCCACGCACAAAAAAAAGCAAGTAGATTCCAAGCTTCTATGTTAATTCCTAAAGCTGCAATTACTGAAGGAAAACCAAAGTTCACAGGTGCAGGCTTTTAGCCAGGATCTAATATTTAGCTATGCAACCTAATGTGTAGGTGTAGACCCTCCAGTCAGCAGCACCAAACAAGCCATCCTCTGTACATTGATACAGATTTACTTTCACTGAAATCCCACACTACAGAGACATTCCAGACACCATTAGCAGCCTCATGGTGACCATGCTTTGTACCTGACCTTGAAAATATTGTTCTGTGTGGAGTGGTCAATGCCCAAGTGAAACATGGCATCTCTGGTCACCTCGAAGCAGTCCTCTGAAAAGCCAAACAAGTGCTGTTTAAGAGAAAGCCAGGCACACAAACTTAAGCAAGCACAACACTCCACACCACATCCAGGTTAAGCTGGAATTGTCAAAGGTGATCCAAGGAAGCCATATGTGCTTTTGGTAAACCCCAGAGTATAAACTGGAGAACCAAGTCATTGACTTAATACTGACTCTGTGGGGCTCTGAAGTTAGGCAGCAGTTAGAAGCACATCCAAAGACAAGACAGTTTCTAAACAGAGCCACAGAGAGATGCAAATTCACGAGGCCAGAAACTGCTCTTTTAAGCCAGATGAAGACTCTTAATAAGTGCAAACTGAAACTTAAAAAGAATCCCTTTAATGCAAGTGGCTTTGCAACATCTGCTGCTGGCTGCCCAACCTGGGTCATGAGATTTAGTAGGACAGACACATTTTTGCCTTCCTGCCTTTAAGGTCACAGTTGTTATTAATGGACAGTCTCTGAAATTAATCTTTACCATCTAAGTTCCTTTCAGAATTTGGCAGCCAACAATACTCAGCCCCTTCTGGAAGGTTCCATTCCAACCTCTCATCTGCAGTAGCACCTTTTGTGATCTGGAGACAGAAAACAAGGTAATGACTGAAATCTGCCTTTGGTATTTACAGCTCACAGACAATGAAGAATAACATGCTTGGAGCAGGATTTAATTTGGATACATGGCAGACAGGGAGACTGTTAAATACTAAAAGCTGATTTCACCCCCACTGTTTGTCAGAAATATCTAGCAAGATTAACTGAAGGCAAACCTGATAAAAAATATGGAAGTTTCTTTCACTGGGGGCCTGATACACAACTCTGGTCTTCTCCAAAAGGAAAGTTTGAATGGAAGCACTAGTCAGATGGTGACACCTAGAATGGGGGAAATAGCAAAGATTTCAACAAAACTTCCTCACAGAATCCCGTAGGTGATGTGTTATTATGATACTGACTATGAACGCTTTCCACTTCACCTTCAGTTTGGTGCAAGCCTAATATATTTTATTCAGAGTTCTTAACTGCATCTCTTGTTTTTCTGTTGTGCCCTTTTAGAGATCAGGGTGAGAGCTTGGAAGGAAAAAAAAAAAAAAAAAAAAAAAGATAATGGAAGCTGCTAGTAAACTGTAGTTTGTAGTTGCTGTAGTTGGAAAGGACCTTAGGATCATCCAGTTCCAATCCCCTGCCGTGGGCAGGGACACCTCACACTAAACCATGTCATCCAAGGCTCTGTCCAACCTGGTCTTGAACACTGCCAGGGATGGAGCATTCACCACGTCTCTGGGCACCCTGTGCCAGTGCCTCACCACCCTTACAGTAAAGAACTTCCTCCTTATACTTAATCTAAACTTCTCCTATTTCAGTTTAAACCCATTACCCCTTGTCCTATCACTACAGTCCCTGATAAAGAGTCCCTCCCCAGCATCTTGTAATCCCCCTTCAGATACTGGAAGACTGCAATGAGGCAGACTTCAGAAGCAATAGGCTTGGACAGGATTTCAAGACAACAGATAAGGTTTTTCCACAGTGACTGTTATTACCTGTCTAACTGAAGCTGGATATACTTTCCAAAACGGCTGCTGTTGTTATTCCGCAGGGTACATGCGTTTCCTGTGAAATTGCCAGTGACAGAAAATAATCAGAGTGGTTCCACTCTTCCATGTAGGACATACAGGTATTAAGGGTGATTTGGTCATAGCTCCAGTATTTGAAGAGTTTGACTTTTAAGGCGAAGACCAAGAGCTAGTTTAGACTTAGCCACTACTTCTTTCTGCTGTTAAAAAAGCCTTATTTACCAAATGCTTCCATGACAGGGTTGGAATCCAACACTCTTTTCTCTATCCTTTCCACAGTTTCACTGCCTTTAGGGGAGATAACTGGAGCAGCAACAGAAGCATAGAATTTCATAAGGCAGCGAGATGTCCAGGTCTGCAAGAGAGAGGTTTGATAATAGGTCTTAGTTTGTACCATGTTATTAGTTATGCACTTAGTGAAGCAGCGCTAGCTTCTGTAAACACAGTATGCAGCTGGCGATGATGCTGAAGGGAGTGATTGTGTCAGTTCTGCTCTAGTTCAGTGGAAACTTTTTGTGTATATATTATGTGCAACAGACACGTTTAATCACTATTGGCTGGAGTGCTTTGAGAATGGCAGTTTTATCACGGCATACCCACCTAGAAGCTCAGCTAGAATTAACAGCTAGTATCTTAAGAAGAACTGAATATAAGTGGTATTTGAATCATTAACACTCAGGAAATCCTTTTGTTCTCAGGCTTAAAAATATCCTCAATATCTTCCTGAACAGGGATGAATTGTTACAGAAGGGCCTAAGATCAGATCTGAACTCTCTGCTGCTTGTGTCTACACAGGGTTTGCTGAGACTCACACTAGCTCCCTAATGGACTAGGCTGAGCAATTAAGTCAGATGTGATCTCTGTTGAATGATTCAAATGCAGCCCTCCAAGAAATCACGAATGTCACCTAGAGAGCAGCTCTATTAAGGAGAGCCTATTTAACAGCTGTAATCACTTAATGCTTTAGGCATATTTCAAATGAGCTGTGCTAAAGCACACTGGCTGTGTGCTCTGTCAGGGGGTTTTTTTCTTCCTCTTTGCTTGTTTACTGAAATACTGCACACTGCAAATCATTGGCAAAGCTCAAAACTGAAGAGCAATGTCAGAAAAATATCTGCTTACCTTCCCAGCACCACTTTCTCCACTTACAATTATAGACTGGTTTACAGGGGCTATCTGGCTTTGGACGTTTCGGTAGGTTTGCTCAGCCACTGCAAAGATGTGAGGTTTTAAATCCTGGCGGCAAAAGAGAATAGTCACATTTAAGAGAACCGTAATTACACAGTTCAACAGCACTGGATAGCACAGGCCTTAGCAAATTTATCTGAAAACAGGTAACAGAGCTCTTTTAATGGAACTCATATTCTACTAGACATGGAGTCATCCTTTAGGATTATTTTGCTCTTAGAGATTTTGAAGAACTTGACATCTGGATTCTGCAGGACAGTTATTTTAAATAGAAGGATTACCTGAGGGTGAAGTGCAACATGGTACTCTCTCATAAGCTCTGGTGAATAGAGGTAGGAGACAGGCTGAAACGGATTTAAAGCCACCAGGCTGCAGCCAGCATTTGTATAAAACAAGTTTACTGTATATCTTGCTTGAAGACATTTCAGAACTGAAAGACACACCTTCTGTTAGCATCTTTTGCAAAGTGTATTCAACTCTTCCTGTGTCTGTTTGTAACAAAAATCTTCAGATTTGTTACCTATCAGGTTTAACAGAGAATGAGGTGATCAAGAGTGATATAGGACTAACATATATAACAGTCTCTAAGAGTTGCCCTTAAGAGATCTGCTAACTATTCCATTCAATAGATCCTGTGCTTTATAAGTTTTCATATAGTCCTAAAAACCAAATCTGCTCACTTGCAGACAACCAGAGGCAAGAATTCCCCATCTGCACTAGGAACAGACTTTAGCTTCTCTTAACAGGATCATCCTTAAAAGTCTTGGAAGCAATTTACTTTTCAAAACCAATTCTATGGCTGTATTTTGAATCAAAGTTAGAGCCCTGTTTTCTGATACGTTCTTATCCCACAAGGTCATGCAGGAGTCCTTTAAATAGCATTAAATCTCAACCACACCCTGGCTACCTGAACCAACAATACAAATGTGAGCTCTGCCTGCAGAGCTTGATAAGAGCACGGCCAAAGCTACAATAAAAGTATTTGGGAAAAAAAGAAATACAACCAAGCCAAATGTGACTTTCTAAGGCTCTGAATAAGCTTTATTAGGCTTTGAATCTTTAAGTACTGTGGTCATTACAGTATTAATGCAATGAGAACAGTAACTACCGCATATTAGTGGCCACCAGGGAAAGTGACTCCTCAGTGTCCCAGTGAAAGTGATTCTTTAGCCTGGCTGTCTGCTTACCTGTTGTAGTTGTCACCGGATTAACCTTTGTGAGGTCGTCAAAAAGATGCAGTTTCTCTTCATCACTGAGGAATGCTCTAACTTCTTCCTCAAACGATTCATTGAGGTCATTCTGGATAGTAGAATCGTCTTTTGGGCCATTTTTCTGGAAAGGATGTCAGATCAGCACCAGTTAAAGGCTGAATACAGCTGGATTTTCAACTCATCCACTACAGCTGTTCTACTGCTTCCATGTAACTGAAATTCAGTCTCAGCAGGAGTCATAACTTAGCATGTTGGAGATATTCTTCCTCCCAGTTGCCCTCCCCCTGCATCAATGGTTCCCATGGGGTGCTCTGTTTTTAGAAAGGTATTATCTAGCATATAAGAAATGGCAGGCTGACAACACTGTAAACTGAATTCATTGCTGGCAATTCTGGCTGTAAGCAAAGGCACTCGGAAAGAATGTGTCCTTAGACTCACACTACCTGGTGCTTGCAATCCTGCAGGTTGTTCAGCAGACACAATGTTCTTAACTGGAATACTTCTAGGCCTGTGAATGTCATGCATTCAATGCAAACACTGCCTTAGGCAAAGGGAAGCAGGAAGGACTGGCTGCAGAGGCTGAAGTAGAGCTGAAAGCTGCTGTGGTCCAACAGAAATGCAGTTTTCCTAGCAGAGACTTTCATTGTTAGAGCGGAGACTGAGGGCCCCAAGAATGAAATCAGAGTGCACACATCGAAGCCAGGGGACAGAAACAGTGGTGCTGTAAGAGCCGGCCTGCATTAGGTGAAAATTTGTCCCCTTTGAATCACTTCAAGTATTTAAAACTTAGCCTCCGGGCTCCTGTGTCCTTGACAATATTAGTTGGAAGGACACCTTTGTTGTACAAAGGTAATGGAAAACTTTTCCAGAAGAGACACTTCAGGTCCTGTTTGTCACTTCTGGGGGAGAAGAAGAGAGAGGCTAGAAGGGAAAATGAAGAAGGAAAAAGATGCCAGTCCTGCTTTTTGCATTTTAGATATTCCTTTTCTGTTCTCCCCTTCTCCTTGACAGAAAGTTCTCCAATGTAGCCTTATTCATTTGTACTTAGTAGCACAAATCTGCAATTCTTTACAGGTTAACAAAGTCAATGAACAGAATCACCTTGTTTATACAGGAAAAGTGATAAATTTAGTTAGCAGCATTCCTACTACATGAGCTAAGCTAATAAAGGAGGACATATACTGTAAACCCCCTTTTACACATTATCAAAACCAAATTATCACAGCTATAATAATATACTTATTTAGGAGCATTATTATATCTTGCAGACAGTATTAGTAGTTCATTTCCAGTAATAAACAATTGTACAAAGCAAAGGAAAAACAAAAGCTTAGCAACAGTTAAGCATTGCCATCAAAGTGATTTCTGTTACTCTGCCTGCTGCTTTCACAGAGAGCAGATGTGCAATTATGAAATACTCCATGCACAAGACGAGCTTCTGCCAATTGCCCTTTTCTTCTGCCAGTTGCCCTTTTCACCCATGCATCCACTGTATTACACTGGCACCAGACAAGCTAAATCCACCGAGCAGCTGACATTGCAAGACCCGAGAAAGGGCACCCCCTGCTCAACACCACTTCATTTGAGAAGAGGTGGTGATTGCTGAGCCAAAAGTAAAACACAATGAAAACAGAAAGTACAACCACGTCTGATACCTACGCTGCAGAGCTCAGGTGTCCATTAACTTCACTGAAAAGCCAGCCTTGAGGATGGGCTTGCAACATGTATTAACACCTGCCCCGTTAAAGCCAATGGCATAACAAAAATCACTCACTTGGTGTAATACAGCTCAAAACCACACATGGTTTTGCTTCAATTCATGAAGCAGGGATGAATGCACATTAGGAGTTACCTAATCTTGACTGCATGGAAACCAGATTTCTTTCCTGACACTAGAATTTAATTAGCACATGCAATTCCCATTTTTCCTTTTACCTGCTTTGGCATCTTGTCCAGCCCTGTGGATGGGAATGCTGGAGAGGGCCTTTACCGTAGAGTGCCTCATTCAAACCAGCCTGAAGAGTGCCTAAAGAAACAAACACAAAGACATTTAGAACATGGACATGTCATTCTCTGCAGGCTTCCACAAGCAGAGCCCAAAGACAGAAGTACTGATCCCAGTGGGGCTCAAGTAATGCTGGAGCTAGAAAGCCTACCCACACTATCAGAGTAACAGTCATACAGCCTGCAAATAAAGCTTATTTAGAGGGAATACCTCTTCCCTTGCATCAGGAGTGCTTTGTTTCTATTGAGTAAACAAAGCAAGCTTTTTTGGCATGAAATTACAACTTCTTCTTTGTTAAACTCCTCCTGTTAGGACAACTAGAAGAGATTCGTGGGTCTGACGGTGCTGGAGAAGCCAATGCTTTCAGGAAAGGGGGTGACTCAGAGCAGCTCTGTGCCGCAGCAGAAGCGAGATACGCTTTGCTGTCCTCTCCCTGTTCCCTCTGCAACCCTGGGAGCCAACGCAAGGTGAGTCAGGCTCACCTCTGATTTTCTGTGATATTCCGGTCACACAGCCAGGGAGAATTCCGCCTTCTTCCAGCGGCTGAAACTGCCAGTACCAAGATCCTATTCTAACGAGTTTTCTTATTCTCCTATTCTATTCCATTCCTGTTCCATTCGCACCTGGCATAAAAACACCATTTAGAGACTACTCTGATCCCCGACCTGAGGTGCACAGAGCTCAGAGTGCACGCAACCACCACCAACACCTTCCTGCCTTTAAAGGGTCCCTAATCTCCACACGCTGTTCTTCCCCGGGACAAGCGTCGCTTACGGCGGGCGGTGGAGTTCTCGGTGCCAGCCGGACCCGCTCCCGGGGCCCAGGCTGCCTACCCCAGCTCCCCGCTGAACCCGCCTCCCACAGGCTTTGCCGGGGCGGGATCCGACGTTCGCCGAGCCCCAAGGTCCTCGCCGTGTGTCCGTGTCCCCGCGTCCCTCCCACCCCCGGGGCTCCCCCCGCTCTGCTGCCCGCGGGCTCTCGGCAGGGCCGGGCCACTCAGGGCCCCGCCATAGCCAGGGCAGGACCCCCCACCCTTCCGCCGGGGTTAAAGGCGGGCGGGCTCCAGGGCTCCGCTGAGGCCCGCGGCGGTGCCTGCGCTGTCCCCGTGCAGGGCGCACTTACCGCGGGCGCTGCGCGCGTCGAGGCGGAGGGCAGAGGGCAGCGGGCAGCGGGCGGAGGGCAGAGCGGGGCAGAGCGGGGCAGAGCGGAGCGGAGCGGAGCGGAGCGGAGCGGCGCTGCGCGGCAGCCGGAGGAGGCGGAGCCGGGGCCGGGGCCGGGCGGCGGTGAATCGGGCGCTGCGGAAGAGCAGGCTGCAGCTTCCCGTGACGAAAATGCGGCCGGGCGGTGCGGCCCGCGTTTACCTGCGGCCGGCAGCGGGGTAAGGGCGGCGGGGCCCGGCGTGCGGCGGGACGGGGTCGGTTGCACGGCGGTAACCGGGGATTGCTTTGTCGCCTTGGCCTGTGCCGGGGGAGGCGCGGGTTTGCTGCCCCCCCGGCCCCGGTGCTCCCGCACGCTGTGTGTCCCGGCAGCCCGGGTCCGGGGAGCCCGGCAGAGCTGGCCTCCTAATGAATGCTTCTGACATTTAGCTTCCGTTCTCTAGGAACGGAGGAGCCTGGCTGGGGGTCACAGTGGGGCCTTTGTAAAAGGGCACTTGTGTCACAAGAGGGGTTTTTAGCTGCTGCTTTTGTCACCCGCTCTGCAGGCCGGGAGCAGGAGCTTCACCGGGGTCACGTTTTACATCCGTGTTTTCATTTACACTGTAGAGAACACGACTGTGTTCTACAGAGCAGGACATACAGGAAGAGTGTTCACAGTTCAACAGAGCATCTGGTATTCAGAGATCTTCAGATTCAAAACCATGTTAAGGATCTTGTATTGCTGGGCCTTGCAGGTGCCTGTGTGGCTGCTCAGCGTCACCAGCCACCGCTAAGCCTCAGCATTTTTGCTTTCCCTTGTTCTTTAAACTGAAGAGCAGCTGAAAACCAGATGACTTGTGAAATTGGTGCTTGTTTTAATGAACTGGAACACAAGGGGCATTTTGGTGAAGTTCTAAGCTCGCTGTTTGACAAAACTAACTCAGGTTTATGCTTGTGTTTTCAGGAAAAGCAAGAAGAATGTCCCAAAAGCATCTGAAAGAAGCCTTTATCAGGGACCTAAACGGAACCAGCTTGCTGGAAATTACTATAGGTTTGTCTCTAGCCCCACTCTGCCTGCTCAGCAGAGGACTTCTCTTGATTTTGTATTGCCTGCACTACGGGAAACCTCTGAGTTCCAGGACATACAGCCTGCTGCTGGACTTCCTTGTGCTGGTGTCTCCTCTCCTGTTCTCCTGCACAGTCTTGTCTCCAGTCCTCTTTTTCATACCAGTTATCATTGCAGCCTTCTGTGCTGGAATGTTTTCCAAAATATACAGCCAAAGAAAGCAGGAGCCCAGGATGGCTTTTAGGAAAATGGTGAAAGACTTCCAGAAGATGTCCTTGGATCCAGAATACATTCCAGCAGTAACCGTCTTCCGTGTTTATATCAACGTGTTGACATCAATCAGCATTTTAGCAGTGGATTTCCCACAGTATCCGCGGCGATACGCCAAAACCGAGACCTATGGAACAGGAATTATGGATTTTGGGGTTGGAGCTTTTGTTTTTGGGAATGCTCTTGTTTGTCCTGATGTTAGACAGAAGTCTTCTGTCACACAACCGAAGTTTTCCAGTGTGGCCAGGCAGTTCTCATCCATTTGGCCGCTGATTTTCCTTGGTGTTGGGCGACTGCTCAGTGTTAAATCTGTAGACTACCATGAACATACTTCAGAGTATGGAGTGCACTGGAATTTTTTCTTTACCTTAGCGTTTGTGAGGCTTGCAGCATCTCTACTTTTGTCTGTATTCCCAAAATATAACTCTTGGATTCTTGCTGTAAATCTCGCTGTGCTTTATCAGCTTACTCTAAACACTACCTCTCTGAAGATGTTCATCTTGCATGGCAGCAATGGCAGAGACACGAGGGATGGCTTTTTCAATGCCAACAGGGAAGGGCTGCTCTCTCTTTTTGGGTATTTAGCTATATACATGGCGAGTGTCCAGGTGGGACTATGGCTGCTGAAGCGCAGGAGCTCGGTGAGAGGCTGGGCTGAGGCAGTGTGTCTCTTACTGCTCACAGTTCTTGTGCTCTTCCTCTTTCTTCATGTCTCACAAGTGTACGTGGAGCCCGTGTCTCGCCGGATGGCCAATCTCTCCTACTGCATATGGGTGGTTGCTCACTGCCTGATGTTCTTTATCTGCTTAGTGGTGACTGACCTCGCATTGGTGTTCACGAAGCTGCTTGTGAGGGGGTCCAGCGTGCCCTGTTGCTGGGATGTTGTACAGGCCCCCAGTACCAGTAAAAAGCATGAACTGGAGGCTGTGCCTGTTGGAAGGGAAGGCAAGCACATGTGCCTGATCAGTGCTATCAATAAAAATCAATTACTGTTCTTCTTGCTAGCAAATGTTATGACTGGTGCTGTGAATATTCTTGTAGATACAATCCACAGCAAGACTGTGTTTACATTATGTATACTACACCTGTATATGTTTTTTAACTGTTTAGTTATGTATATAATGCATGCCAAAAATATAGTATTCAAGTTTTGGTGATTCCACTCTGTCTTCAGTGGACTAGCTGAACTTTGCTGTAGTTGGAGGATGGTATTTAAAGGGGAAAATTGGTACTTTTTCTGTACTTATTGCAGTAAGTTATAATTTAGTACAACTTTTTATGATTTAGCATTGATTAGTTTTCAACGGTTTGTTTTACCAAACACATACAGTCAATGCTGTTACCTGCTGGAGCTGGTACGCATTTTCCTGAACACCTAGGCTTTGCCAAATACTGCTGCTCCTGTAAGAACTCATTCAGAAGAGTAATGCTGCATTTACAGGTAGTGAACAGTGAAGTACTGGTGGAACGAGGTAGCAATGTATAGAGTAGAAAGCAGATGAGAAGTAGAAAAATGAGTAATTATAGAAACTTACCTGAGTCAGGATTTACCTAGTTCAGACCCTTGCATAAATAACAGCTAAGAATAATTCTTGATATGAAATGTATTCAGTAAGTGGATACTTAAAACTGTTTTGGCCCCTGTCCTGCAAGGTTTTATGCATATGCCTGACTTTGATAGCAGTAATTGTATGGGCAATGTTAATTCTATACTGAAATCTAAGTGAGCCTTTGAAGTAAGGCTGAACTTTATTTTCATACTCACTGATGACTATAAACAAAGACCTCAGATAAAGTGTGATGCTCTAAAGGATAAACTGCAAATGAATTCATAAAGCAGTTGTTGGAATTTGGTAATAAGAGCAGCACAGCCTTTTGTAAGAAAGTACAAAGATCCAAAACTAATTCACCCCCAGCCTGCATACCAGCGTGTTGTGACAGATCATCTTTAGGAACATTGTAAACTATGGTCTTCAGCTCTACTTCGAAAGTACTCAAAGGCCCACCTACTTGTCTATAAAATCATTTTAAGCAGCAGCTCATTTAGTACTGTGTCTTGACAGCTGAGTTGTCTTCAAGTGGGAACATTCTGTATTAATTTTTATTAGCAAACACAGTATGCAAATAGAAAGCAGCGTGATGCAGGGGGGCAGGCACCAGAAGATGTGCTCAGTTTCTGTCACAGCACCCTCTTTGTTCACTTTCCAGAGTGTGACAGTTCCTCCTGACCTTGTTAAGTTGTTGGTAAGACAAATACACTTAAACATTGTGAGGAATTTAATAGGAGATACAAATACTTAAGAAGTAGAATACAAGTGGTAATTGGTGATGTGTAATGTCAGTGGAGTTCCAAGCAGTGCACATGGGGCTGCATTTTGTACTTCTCCTTATTGATCGAATGTGATGAATCATAAAACCCATGGAGATTAAGCTTCTAAATCAGATTCCTTAAGGCAGACGTGCTGTGGAATAATCTGAAATTTATGAGGTTCTCTTAGCTGCTGGCCAATGGAAAGGTTAAGTCTGAGGATTACAGGCTGTGGCCATGCTGATTTCATGCTTGTTTACTTCCAAATTATAGCCATATAGTCTTCAGAAT